CACAGGAACAAAGGTTTTTACAAGGTCACATGAGGACAGGTCGGTTAGTGACTATTAAATTTGAATAGAATCGGTAAATGCAATTATAAGAATATTATTTTGTAAGTATATTGTACAACGTTTCAGGTGTCTACAATGTATATTCTTAATTGCTGTCATTGTGTTAAATCATATACTATGAGTACTAGTGGCCGCGGAATCAGAAGTGTGTAGCTAGTAGTTGCTACGTGTAATTTAAAATCGCAAATCCTGAGAACGAGTGGTTTGCAAATATCAGTGACATCCAGCGCGAAAAGGTAGTCTTACGATAATGGCTTATGTCGACTCGAAATGGCAACCAAGAGGCAGGTGCGAGGAGAATATTTAATCATTTGAGAAGAACTTGGCGGCCTCGGTCGAATTCAAACCCATTACGGCAAGAGCAAGGCTTGAGTGCCACCTACGCTCTAACCACTTGAGTTATGAGGCCCCACCGGGAGGGCGCGAGTTTCATCACGCAAGTTACCGGTCCAACAGACACAATCCCTCTACTTGCTATTGTGGGCTCGAATCCCAGCAGAATCAAATGAGTTACGGAGATCTGCCAAAAAACGCTTACTAACTGAGCCTGATAGTCATCCGATCGGTACTATGCTGATTTTTTGAGCCAGCCAACTTACTTGAATTCTGCGAGTCGCGTTTGCCCTGCTGTTGTTGAACGTTAACACCGTCGCACTGGCCAAGGGATTGGTAGTGGTTGTCGGAATGAGGGACAGATGGATCACGGGAGGCGTGTGTGTAGACTGGGGGTGAAGGGTTTGGGGGACTAAGGTGGGCTGAGACGACTGCACATCGATCGTTCATGCCCAAAAGGCAGGACAGAGAGGAGACGGCGTACTGCCGAGCAGTCAGCTTAGAGCGGCTCTCAGTGTGTTGGTTGGAGAGAGAATCCCGATATTCGGTTGCCTCCAGAGTCTAGAGCATCAGGAAAGTGGTAAGCGCAAGCAAATAGACAAAAAATTAAAACTATAAGGTAATTTTTATCAAACAATTGGCCGAATGAACTCGAATTCCGATGTTAACGGCATACAGGGTTGTAATATTTATCAGTAGAGAAGATAATACCAAAATCTGTTATGTCCCTCCACGATGCCGGTTTGAATGACCTTAATTTTGGCCATCTGCATAAACCAACTTCGGAAAAAAAAAAGGCTATTTATTTAGCATGACCCGTATCTACTACTGCTCTCTGATTATTTA